GCAAAGACTTATATAATCAAATTTGTAGATCAAAACAGGAGAAAACCACCCAGGTAATCAAACTCTTCCTTTCCTTAGACAGCATAAAAGGGAGGCCCCAAACAAAATCAGGTTCTTGAACACTTTCTTACTCTCTTGCAATGTGTTCCTTTCCTATGTGCATGATTCCTTTGCTTTTTAATGGTTCCTTAGCTACTCTGCAGGCTTTGTAGGCTTTTATTTCATCCTTTAATAAAAGACCAAGAACTGGATATTCCAGGCCCAGATCCCACATGCCTTGGTTTCTGTGACCTTCGACAAGTTCCTTAACCTTTCCTAGGCCTTGCTTTCCATCTGTATTAGAAAACCAACAACAGGTAACAAACACTTCAAATCATTGGTTTAGGGCTCTATTAAAAGCAGGAGATGAATTCTGTTATTTCTGCCATTTTGTTGATGAGGTAATACAGACAAAGAAGTAGAGATCAAACACTGTGCCACTCTTAGATCTAAGCTTTCTCTTCATTCAGAATTGCTTTGTGTTTGTGCTAAGGGTCCTTCCCAGTTGCTCACAGATACCTCTCCCCCAAGCACAAAGCATTCTGGTCACCTCACTTTCTGGCCCTGATGACCACAAAAGCAAGCACCAAACTCATCTATCTGGAACAGAAGACACCCCCCAACTGTTGCCTACCTTCCTCTCTGGCTGAAGGAAGAGTTTGACTTCCAAGTCAAACAAAAATTGTGTTTCTTCCCAACTTCTGCTTTGTCTCACTAATTCCACCTCTTTAAATGCCTTGTGTCCAAAACAGATTTGGAAATCTGATGACAAATGTGAGAAAAAAGCTGGAATATCAATTACTTATGGATTGCCATTAAAGGACTCCTCAACAAAAGTTTCTGTAATAGTTGTTACACCTAACCAATCCAACCATTGAAGATGAGAAAACAATGTAGTATCTTTCATAACACTGTGATCAGAAAGACAGTAGACACTACAATAATCTCCATGTTACCCATAAGGACAGGAACAGGTAGGCCACCTGTCTGTCTTTCTAACTTGCAACTCAATAGGTTAGAGGCCACAAGGCAGGAAAAGAAAACCTTGTGTTACTTAAGACACGATATTATTGGAAGGGGAGTGGATTTCTAAATGTATATTATAAAAGAACTACACTAAAAAGTCTTTGTTTTCAAATATAATATAAAATGTCAGATATATGAGAAATACTTTAAAATATTATTTGTGAACTAAGATAAGAAGACCTTGATCCAAACTGGTCTGCATACTTTCAACACTGAATACCTTCAGTGGATTATTGTGCCTCTGTATCTAGGATTTCAAATGTACCATGGAAAGCTTCAGTGAACAAAAACTCTGAAGTGCTCCCAGGACATCCAGTATAACTCACCTCTCTAGCTTCTTCCCTGGCACAGAAAAATAAGCTCCCTGGTGGAGACCCAAAGCTACCATATGCCATAAGGCATGTGAGCCTATCTGAGATACTCTGAAATTGCTGGAGAATTTTTCTAATTTCCAGACTGTCCAAAACTGAATTGAGTCCCACTGTCTTCTAGCACCTCATTATATTCCCTGGATCACACAGCAAGCCCTATTTTTACAGTAACTTTAATTATGGAATTACTCAGGGAAGTAAAAAGTACTTGTGATTAGGTAAATGCATTTTCTATGTTTGCTTTACACTAACACAGATGAGCACAACACAAAACAGAAAATTGAAACTTCATTCTGAGCACCTTAGTACCTACCCTACCATGCAAACCAAATTCTCACATTACTTTCACTGTTACTTCCTTCTCATATTTTACTAACACAGAGCTACTGTGTAATATCATACATTTGTTTTGTAATCATGTTTCTATTACAGTATGTTGATAGGGGAATTTATGAGCTAGCAAGAGTTGAATCATCTGAAGCTTGTGAAAATTTGACATTTGCCTTAAACTGCTATCCTGCATTATTTGTTTGTTTCATTTGGGTGCCATTTCTGTTACTGATTAGCACTAATATGGCCAAATGACACTTAGATTCATCCAAATTAGAAAAAAAAAAATAGAATTGTTACCACGGCTTCTGCAAAAGCACTATGCATATCTGAGCAGTGAATGATTTTTGTATAAACTTTGGCTACAGTGTTTGTTAGGAGTGCTCTCTTATAGCTCTACTGGCAAGGCAACAGTGGTCTTGCTGAGCCTCACTGGCACGATAGGAGTTTAGTGGGCACAGGAGGGGGGAGAAAAGAACTCAGGGCCCAGGAGAAACCAGCCACTGCCTTGTTCTAACTCTTCCTGCTATGTGCAAATTCTTGAACTAAGTAAACTTACCTACAAGTGCATTGTACTTACTGTGGGCAGGTAATGAGAGATCCTCAGTCAATTCATATCTTACTATTGTGGGGTAATACAATACCAAACTACAACTGCCTGGAAATATTACACAAATAGATCATAAGACTAGGACCTAGGCTTGTCCTAATTAGAAGGACCACGTGAAAAATCCTTCAAAAAAGTAAATTTCAGCTGAACATTAAAGAAAACAGAATAGGCAAACATAACACCTACCCAATATAAATATTATAAGAAAGGAGGTGGGTATTTGGGTTAGGGATAGTTTGCTATTTATAATAACATTGAAATTTTGCTACTTTTTGTTACAAGTAAGTCTTCTAAAAGTAGCAAAGACTCTCTATACAGTCTATAATGTGTATAAAAACTCCTCTGAGAACAGTACTAGGTGGCTGGCCTTATTTTCTAATTTTGTCAATTTGATCTGGTTTAAAAGACAACAAAGGCTCATTTGAAACCCACACTTTCTTACTAAAAAGTATAAGAGAAAGTGTCAAACAATTCCCTTAAGTAGTACCATCTCTTAGAAAATAATTTTTCTCCCTATTTTCTCCTATTATTTCTCCTATTTAATTCTCATCTGGCTTCATAACTCCCAGAACATTGTTCCCTATCTAAATGGAGGTGCTCACTCAGCCTTGTGCTCCAACCAGAGAAGACATCTTCCCAAGCAGGTGCATCACTTCCATTCCTCTCAGAGTGTTGATGCCCTGAGAAGAAGTAAAAATCCTGGAAAAGAAACTATGTCTTGAGCATTCTCACTAGGGAAAGAACCTCAGCCTGGCAACTCTGTCTCCAGTATCCTAACTTCATCTTATGGCACTCTATTCATAAAAATATGTACCAAACACCTCAGAAATATTTTTGGAATACTTTCTAGGGATCTTAACTTATATTGGTAAATTTAACAGGCACATTCAACTATAAGCTCCATACAGATCATATTTATGACAAACAACTTTCCAGATGGGCTGTTCAAGAAAGATCTCCCAGCTTCAGAAACACCTGCTTTCCTCACTATCTTCCTAAGTCCTGAGGATAATGAGTATTCATGCAATGGCAACTTTTCAGAAGCAGATATCTATAAAATGCTTTTGCTAGGAAATAGGGGTAGTTAGAATGAGAATGGTCTCCATAAACTCATATATTTAAATGCTTAGTCACTAGAGGCATAACCTAGAACATGGACGGTTTGGGAAGGATTAGGAGGTGTGACCTAGTGGGAGGAGGTGTGTCACTGGGAGTGAGCTTTGAGGTTTCAAAGTCCCATTCCAGGATCTTCTCTACCACCACCACCACCACCCCCACATTTGCCTCTCTGCCTGCAGACCAGGATGTAACTAAAGCTTTAAGGTATGGTTCAGCACTATGCCTCTAAAACTAAAAGCAAGCCCACAATTAAATGCTTAGTTTCAAAAGTGTTGCCTTAGCTGTGGTGTTGCTTCACTGCAATAGAACAGTAACTACCAAAGGAACCAAGTCCTCCATCCTAAAATGATACCCTCTCCCATATCATAGGAGGGGGGCTGGATGGTTCTCACAACTCAAAATATCCACATTTTTACATTCAATTTTTATTACACTCACATCAGAAACCCCCCCCCCCCCCCAAGACAGGGTTTCTCTATATTGCTTTGGAGGCTGTCCTGGAACTTGCTCTGTAGACCAGGCTGGCCTCGAACTCACTGAGATCTGCCTGCTTCTGCCTCTGGAATACTGGGATTAAAGGTATGTGCCACCATTGCTAGGCAAGAAATTCTTAAATGGAATCTACAGTTAGCATCCAACCTGGTCACCTACTCTGCAAACCTCTGTCCATTTCAACAAGATTACAGTAACTGTCAATAAGGTCACTGGGAGGACAAATATAGGCAGAGATGGAAGACTGTTGAGATGTCCATTTCTAAATATTGAAGTTCACTTCAATATTTTTATGTGATTTGTTTGTTGTATTAGAGATCAAACTCAGGACCTCCCCCTCCCATATTCAGCAGGTGTTCTACTACTGAACTATAAGCCCAGCCTATTATTAGCACATAAGCAATGTATTCTACCAGATGTATGACCCAGACCATATACCTACAAATCCAGTTTGCAAATACATATGTTCCTATTTTAAATGTTCTTATTATACGAAAGAGTACATAAAGTCACATTCTGCTTCTTGAATTTCCTAAGTTCCAAAATAAATGGTCCAAACCTTTTAGAAGGGCCCTGACTTTGAAAACATGTACTCTAAGATTACTTGTCTTTCTATTTAAGAAATCAAACACTTTGATCCTTAATGATAGGAGTAAGAGCATGTAGGTCTCAAAATCTTTCTCTTTAGCACATCTCAGGGCTCAAGATTCAATTACTTATCCTCTTCCTAGCTATGTGTCTCTAAGACAAAACAGTGCAACAACTTTAGCGGGGAAAAACACCACTGGGCATGCATCCTTCTTTCTTAAGATCTTGGTACTGAAGAGTCAGTTGACCAGGACCCTGATTCTGGGACAGTCATCACCCATGCACTGAGCTCAAGGTGCATGGTAGGTATTCTCTTGGGGACTGAACCTTTAGGGCCTTTAGTGCCAGCCCTATACTTCAGGAATGACTTCCAAAACTGTTCTTTGCCCATTGGCTGGTCTCTCTCTGGGGATAAAGGAGCTCACCGAAACGAAAGTAAAACAGAGGCCGATTCCCTGCTGCACTGGCCGCCCTCTCCTGGCTGCTGCTTCTCGGATGTCGCACACCCCGATGTGGGTGGAGCGGAACGGTCTCCCTCGGCACGCCTTCCCGGGCTGCAGTCTACACCGAACCACGGCAGCTCCATTCGCTGCTGTAACAAGTTGAAAAAAAAAACTAATTAATTCAGACTTTAGTTTTTTTTAAATTTGTTCTAGCGCTGAGCAGAACTGCCGACCCTATGCAGAAACAGCACAAAGACCAACAAAGGTTCCAGTAGGTGCAGAAACCCTCTGCCCCCAGCCAGACCCGGTCCAGTGAAGACTACAGAACACCTCAGGTAAGCCAGTAACTGCTCATTTTCACTTTTGTTTGGTATGGCAAATGAATATCCAACAGCTCATCAAATTAACCAAGTAGTCTTCCTCAAGGACAGGGAAGACACACAGAGACATCAACAAGTGACCAGGCCTTTCTGACAATCACACAGGGGTAGACTAAAGTAGAGAACTCTTTTCCCAACACGTGTCCTTAAATCCATTACCAGCCTATTTACTTTGTTTCTTCCAAATGAAACCATGCTTCTTCCTTTCTTCAGCCATGAGAAATCAGTCCCTCAGCTAACACACACGGGCCCACTTTTACACCAATATCCTTAAAAATCACATGAAAAGACATAGCAAGCAGAACTACAAGCACAGCAGACTCCTGATATCAAGTTCAGAAGCCACAGAGCTATTTTTTGCAACTCTATAACATTGGGGTAACACGTTCTGGAGTTTTGTGAACATGCACTTTCAGCCTTGTAGGTTTTGTTTCACCCACAGAAACTGCAGTTTCAGTTTTTACCTTTAACAGGTGCATTATGAACTTTTTACCTCAAGGAGGGCTATTGTTTGCATTCACTTTGACCAATTTCTAAAGCCTGGCAAACACTCAAGGTTACCCTCTAAGTGATATGATCTGACACACGGAATCCATGCCAATGTAGCTCCATTTTCTTTTTCTTACATCTACAATCTTGCTCAAGTACAGAAATTCTCCCGAGCCACACATGAAACAATAGTGACAGGGAAGTATACCTTGTACTTTGCAAGTATAAATAATGCATAGTTTACCACCATCTCTAAAACACCAAACCTTTACAATAATATCCTCTGAGTCAGGCTACCACAACATTTTCTAATAGTCTCAAAATCTTGTATTAATTTAAACCATAATCAATAGCAAAGTCAAAAATCATGTTTAAACTCAAGTGCTCCTATTTTTATAATTACAGTGTTTTAAAGACACCAATGTATTGTTGATCTCCAACTATACATAAAATATCTATTAAACTGTATTAGGTATGTTTATAGAAAAATTACATATGCCTTCAAAATTCACAAAAACTATGAGTAATTATACAAAGAAGCCTTTTGTAGAGAACTCAGGTGTCAAGTGTGCACTCTTCAGGCAGATTCCAGAGTGAAGGAAAAGCCTCTTTCAAATGTAGCTATTAACTTTTAAAACCTAGACCATTTATACTATTCAAGTTTTACATACTTGGAGGCTGGGGAAGGTGGCTCCAATTAATTTTGACCTCTTCTTTTCATATCCCTTTTGTGTAATGTCACCTATAAGAGAAGGAAAAACAGAAAGCATTCAGGATAGTTTCAATGGATAGAGTTGGTCATTTAATGAACAAAATATATAACTTTTGTTTGCTTTACAATTAGGTATTTATAAATGTGTATCATTTACTTTAACATTTTCCTTTACCACCCCTTTTTCCCCCTGCCCCGCCAAAAGAAAATCATAGGCATTCATGTTATATAAAAACTCATTTTCTCAGTACATATTCATCTATGGCAACTTTTGGCTTGAGTTTCCACACTGAGGGTGCAAAATTAGATCTGTGCAATTTTATTCACATCTGCAGGCACAGGAGCCTGCTCAATCTTTAGGGGCCCTCATTAACTTAATCAACAATGGATTGGACAACTGTCTTGGGTTGGAAAGCTGGCAAAAACATTACAAACAGGCACTGCATTTCATTAATGAGATTTCTTTTCCTTTTTTTTTTTTTTTTTTTTTTTTCCTTCCCCTAATCAAGCATGTCAGTCACAAGGACTTTACACTGCTAAGTTATCTTTGAAAACAACAACAAAGAAATAACCAAAATTAAATTAACAAAAAAATAAAGAAAGACTAAGACCAAAGAAAGCATTAGATAAAAACCAAGGAAATGAACATGGGACCCATAGGAGATTTAAAAGACACCCATTGTTCAAATAAGAATTAAAATGATAAAGACAAATATTCATACATAGGTCAAAGGAGGTCAGATCTTTCCCTAAGGGTTAGGTCACTAAGGATACAGGCAAAATAACATTAATTAATATGTAATAGTCTTTCCTAACTGTAAGCTCCAAAACGTAATGCTAAGTTTGCCCTTCATTTTCAAAAAAGAAAAAAATACACATGTAGACATGTGCACAAGAGCACTAGCACTCCAGCGCAAGTGTGCAGGCAAATACACACTCATGCAGATACACCACAGGCTTTGTCCTTGAATTTGAGGGTGTTATAAAATTTACTTTGCCCTTTAATTTTTTGAGGATGTTTCAGATTTTTATTCCTTGCATTCTGACCTACCTCTTCAAAGAGAAAAAGATTTGAGCTTCTATGAAAACAAAGCAAACCAAAGAATAATTATTATTATTATGCATGGTCAAGATGGTAAATTAGCCTAATGATATGTGTTTACTATGGCCATGTAACCCTACAGATCTGAGGGCTGATTTTATTAGTCAAAGCTGTTCTACACAAATTTGCTTAGGTGAAAAATTAATGTATGGCCAACATTTAAATGTGAGCCATAAAAGAGAAAATGAATATTTTCCCTTATCAACTACTAAGTGGTTTTATGCTAAATGTTATGATTATACCATTATGAATGAAGGGGGGCTGTATAAATGTTGCATAAACATTATTTTGCATTATGTTTGGCTATACTTTGCAATCTCAACCATCAGCTGTATATCACTGAGATTGGGGCATTATTCTTATAACTCTCCTCTGCAAATCTCACTTCTTCATCACCATAGTCACTATAGACATATTAGCACAGTCCAGAATATTCTCATGATTGGCTAGGGAAAATAAGGGGAATGGAGTAATGTATTACAGACTGGCTGTGAAACTTTCTTTTGCCCTCTCTCTATAGTTGTCTGTACCTATAGCACTAAAAGATGAAGAGAATTGTCTGGCTTTGAAGAAATAATAGTTTGTAAACAAGATAAAATCTCTAGTGCCTTGCTCTGTGACATTTAAAGCAAGGGTCTAGGACCAGTAATCACAGGAGACCTGATTTACTCCCACTTCAACATTCCTGATAATAAAAAGGAATGGGGTAGAGTACTGGCACCCATTCTGGCTAACCTAAACATCCCATTCCTACTCACAGGAAAGGCAGAGCATCCTATCCTAGAAAGCAAAACACAAACAACCTCCCATCCCATATGCACAGCTTCTTGAGAAATCCCCCAAAAAACAGATCAATAGCACCCCAGAAGCAGTTGCTTTACTACCTGTCTCCACATGGGATATAGTAACCTTGACTAACAAGCAACAGCTTTTACTAACAGTAATCCTTCTTTAAACATTAAAACTGAAGAAGCTAGTTTTCATGTTAATCATAATGCTACATAATCCATCTTGTCTCTGCCTGAGACAAAACCTCAAACCACTGCCAGCTAAATTAAAGAGAAAGAGGTAGGCTCATAAGAAAATGAAAATTAGTAAGAACTGTATGTAGAAAGCCCCAGTAAAGAGTACCTCATCTGGGCCTCAGGCAAGATGCTATCTTTGCCTTTTCCACCTACTGCCCATGTCCAGATTGAGTAGTTGCTTTGATAACTCTACTATCAAATTCTAGTCCAGGTAAACCAAGTCATTTCACAGGTTAATTATACCCAAACTTCAGCTCAAGTTTCACTAATTTCTCAACTGAATACTTAAAGGCCAGAGGGAACTCTTCCTTATTTTTTACTATAGATCAACTTCAAAGAAAACGAACTTTCTGCCTTACTTCAGAGTTGGTATTATTTTGGAAATTTCTGATTGCTTTAAGGCTAACAAGATATAAGGACATTTTTTTTAAAGCCCTGAAGTCTCTCCTAGACTAAAAACCAAACCAAACAAAAACAAAAACCACTGAGCATCCCCATAGAAGATACTGAAGAATTGCTGGTGACCACCACCACCAGAACCTGGGAGAGTGAAGAAAAACACTACAGAAGGACGTCTACCTGTCACAGTAGCCACACAGGTGTGAGCAAACAGTCATGTAGGCCAATGGGAACTCTCTGGTCTGTGTTTTTAAAAAGCTAAGTAGCTGGCAGCCTGTTCCAATATCAATAAACTATGTCACATGCAAAACTACATTTATATATTAGATGGTTCTTTACAGAAAGTTCTGAAGCACTCTGTCCTGAATGTCCTAGCAATCCCTTTTATTCCTAACATCAACTGATTTTAGAGGGGGGAAACAAAGGCATAAATACTATATGGTTCTTTACTCAGACTTTAGATATAAAGAAAAATGTATCCTGAACGCCAACTTTTCTTTCTATTATAGCCACACCTAGTACTGCTCCCTGTACTCTGGACAAAACTGGGGTAGACACTGTCCCAAGAAGAGACACACTGGCATTGGCATTCCTGACTTTGTTAGTGGATTTTTTTCCTGTCTGATATCTTTTTACCCAGGTCTTTAAGTGGTTCTGTCCATTCTCATCTCTGGAACACAACCCTGCAAACCATTTCCTATTTGACTCCCTCCCAATCCCTACCCAAGGGGAGGATAGCACTTCCAAGTTTTGGGTAACCACAGCATAGATGATGACTATCTAGTTTTCATAGGAGTTATGGCTATGATGTACTTGTCTATCGCTGCATTTCTGTAACATATATTTACATACAACTTATCCTGAAACCAGAGTGTTGAGCTTTTGTGAAAAAGCCCTAACCTACAGAACTTAGTCTTGACCACACTATTTTCCCACTCTAGGACTATAAGTTGATCAATATATTCAAACAGCAAGAGACATTGAGAAACACCAATGTCTATCTCTGACAAAGGCGTAGTTGGCAACAGCAGCAGCAGCAAAGACAATCAGCACAGACACTGGGATGATTAGCTATTTGATGATTCTGTGTGGTAGAGGGCAGGGGGAAAATCCATATTGACTCTGTTATTAAAATATGCCAGACAACAGGCCAACTTGTAGTGGTCAAAAAAAAAAAAAAAAAAAATGTGCTACCATCTGTAGCACTGAGACTAGACTCATTTTTGGCTTCAAAGCATCAGGGCTAAAAATACCATTGCCATTTTCTAAATCCAGAACTACTTAAGCATCTGGTAGCCCAGAAGTCCAGCATATTATGACCAACTCTCCCTGAAAATTTATAGCAAACTTTCCAATTGAGCTTTTGTGTTGGAGCTTTCTGAAGCCAATGATTTGTGTACTAATGAAGTTACAGATACATAGTTACAGATTATCATCTGTACAGAACAAAAAATATAGTAGATTATAGGGAAATGATAGCTAATACATTAAAATAGGTAAATGAACAGATTATTAATAAATGGCAAATAAAAATAGGAAAGAAGTAGGAAAAAAGTGGTTGATGGGCAAATGACATACAGACAGACACACACACATACAGACATACAGACACAGACAGACAGACAGACAGAAAGCAGATAGTAAATTTTGCAAACATCTTCTTTCTAGACACCTCTGTGGCTTCTGTTCAAGCCTTGACCACTGTCAATACCCTAGTGTCCCCATGGAAGCACAGGGCTCTCTGCAAGTACATATGGTTTCCTAATTTATGTTAGTTCAGGCTAAACAGCCAATTGGTTGCCCCCTTTCTCTGCTTCCTACAGGGATCTGTGCTATACAGTCTGCAGGATAAAGCCACATAAATTCAAGAAGGAAAGGTTACAAGACCAAGGTAGCAAATCTTCGGGCTTATATGTCTAAGCAAGGCTTCATTTTCTATCTCTTATTATAAGGCATACCACCCCATGGTTTACAGCAGGTTAGCTAAAATTCCTTTAACTTGCAAACTAAAGTCAGTATCATTCAAAACTATTTTAAAAGGCAATTCCAATCAATATAAAAGCTTCTTAGGCAATAAGCAATTTAGCTAATTCTAAATGCATATCTAAAAGAGGTTTCTTCCTCCAAAATGTGGCTCATCACATTAAGTCTTCAACCACAGAATTACTTGTTTATTTTCCACAAAAATTCCAAATAGCACCACTTTCCTCATCTTTTAATACCCAAGACTACTCATAAGCACAAATAAGAAAGTATGAAAAAGTCAGTGCAGAAATTTTAACCTCAGCAAGGATAAATTAAAAGTGATCTCTTGGAAACAAAGATTAATTTCAAGAAAAATGCTCCTGTTCTTAAGTTCTCCAACACTTCAGATACAAGAACTATAGTTATTTTTTAAACAAAGAACAGGGATGCCAGTTGTGCTCGGAGGTGCAGGCTTAAAATTCTAGCTACTCAGAGAGCTGAGTCAGAAGATAACACATTCAAAGCCAGTCTGAGCTACA